TCCTGCTCCTGCTCCTGCTCCTGCTCCTGCTCCTGCTCCTGCTCCTGCTCCTGCTCCTGCTCTTGCTCTTGCTCCTGCTCCTGCTCCTGCTCTTCTCCCTTTTCAGCTTGGAGTGTCGTCATTATCATTTCATCCTTTCGCCCACAACACTTGATCCATCCTCACTCTCTCCCTCCCTCTTCCTCTTTCCCTCCCTCCCTCCCCTGGCTCATCCCACAGCGCTCCCTCCTCTCCTCCTCACCTGGTTTCTTCTCCTCTCGTTTGCTCGTCAAGCTGCTCTGTGCCGTTGCCGTCCTCTTGCCCCCGAACTTCATCTGATCACCCTCGTCATCCTCGAAGTCTCGCAAGCGAAGAAACAACGTGAAAGTGACTAAAGATCACGTCGACGTAGCTGCCGTCCTCGTCCTTGAGCCCTCTAGTGATTGCAAGGGGTTGAGATGGTGAGATAGCGTTTGAAAGTTGACGAGTCATCGTGGGTAAATTCATGATCATGATCATGATCATCATCATCATCATCATCATCATCATCATCATCATCAACAACAACAACAACATAATCATCATCAACAACAACAACAACATCACAAACAACAACACCATCACAAACAGCACCAACACCAACACCAACACCAACATAATCATCATCATCATCAACAACAACAACAACATCGTCATCATCATCATCATCATCATCATCATTATCATCATCATCAACCACACAAACAACAACAACAACAACAACAACAACATCATCATCATCATCATCATCATTACCAACAACACCGCCGCCATCACTATTATCATCAACAGCAAGATCAAGAGCAAGAGCAAGAGCATCTCACTTGGCTTCCAACATCTGAACGGCATGATCTGTCTCCATTGACTTCTGGGATCGACTTGTCAGCATGAAAATCATCTCAAGCTTCCATCAAAACCTGCCCGTTCTTCTTGTAGGCATCCCAGAGCAAATAAATCTGCTCATACTCATGATTCTCTGAAACCTTCTCCCCTCCCAACTCCCCTTCACTCCTCCTCCTCCTCCTCCTCCTCCAGTTTAATCCCTACCTTCTTGTAGATCTTGGTTACAAACGCTTTCACCTCAACCTGCAGGATCATAAGCACACAGATCTTGTATCACCTCGACCACCTTTCTGAAAGGAACATCTCTTTCCGCAAGAAACTCGTACAAGTATCGCATGTGGAACCTGCGAGGAGGACGAGGAGTTGGTTCAATCATCAGAACCCACGTGCTTGCGTGATCGGTAATGAGGATCATAGTGCAGTCTTTTACCGGTTGCTTTCGATAATCTCCTCTAGCTCCTGAAAGCGTATGAAAAGTGAGCTTTCGACGGAGGAAAATGAATGACGTCGCATTGCATCATTATCACAACATATCACTCTTGTTCAAATAGAGAAAGTGAGTGAAATCACATAGCGGACAGTAAGACATACTACTATTCACACAACAACACAACTCGCGACCTCAAACATCTCCCACGAACCTGTATGATCCACTCGATCACCAACCTCTCCAGCACTCTCCTGCTCCCTGTCAACCTCCCCCCCCAGCGCTAGCAGCGTCCTGACAGACCGATTGTCGTCTTCCTCGTCCCACTCGTTCTCCTCCTCGCCTTCCCTCTCCTGGAAGCCCTTCATCATCATCTCCTCCCACCAAGACTCTTGCATCTTCACCAGCAGAGGAACAAACTGCCTCCCGTCCTGCACATCACAGCACGTTCAGACTGGCAACGCACGGAAGAGGACACAACCTTGATCGGACTCGCCTGCCCGCTCCCTTTCGATTTTGCCTGCGAGTAGGAGAGAGTGAGGATCGCAAACCGCTGACTTTCCCCCATCACCCTCGATGCCAGCACATCCCTCTGGACCGGCTGGCCCTGGCGAGAGCGCAAACTTGTCAAGCACTTCCAGCAGCCCCCAGGCGACTTACCGAGAAATAGTCGACCTCGTTCTTTCTTGGGCTCGAGAAGCTGGGCGGCAGGTCAGGAGCTACCCGAGGGGGAACGCGTCCCTCTCACTTGGATCCATGGTACTCCAAGGGGCTGCCGTGATCACTGGTCATGATAGAGTGCTTGGAGCTCCCTGCTCAACAGACGGAGGCGCCTTGTCGTCAGATTGGGGCGGGTCAGTCAGCAGGGGAGCACCAGTGTCTAGTCGCAGGAAGTCGAAGCGCGTCTGCTCGTGGTCGAAGGGTCAAGGGCGGGGAGGAAGGGATTAGTTCCAACGCACCTGGTGCGACTCGTTCCTGCTCGAGCCGACGTTCTGCCGGACGAAAGGGAAGAGACTGGCGGCATCGTCCTCCTGCCATGGCTGTCAGCACGGCATGCCCCTGGCGGCGATCTCTGTCCCCGCACGTAGAGCTGACGGAAGTTGCTCTTTTCCTCCATCTCCTCTTGATTGGCAAGGAACTCTTCGATGGCCGTCATGCCATTTTCACCTCCACGTGCCACTCACCGTCATAATCCGGGGGAGACACTCTCCTCATCAACTTGTCGTCATCACTGTCAGTCCCATATAGGAAAAAGGATAGGGGAGGAGGAGGAGGAGGAGGTAGAAAGAAGGAGAAAGTGACATACGTTAGGCATCGACTTCGTCTTTCCAGATGACAATTGGCCGCCTTGCAGGCAAGTCTCGTCAGCCAGACTATCTCACACTGTCCACATCAATCTCATGAATTTCTCCATCAACATCAACGAATTTGTTCATCATCGTCAATGATTTTCTTCATCAACCTCATCAACAACTCTATCACATCACGGTATCATGATGTCTTGGATCTTTCCATCGCATCGTGCATTCTCTCACCAGCAAATGTTTTCACAGACGGGCGTCCCTTGGGTGCACTGCCAGTGCAGTCATACCAAAGATGACGATGTTGTCACTCAAGCTGCTCACAGACTGCTGTTCGACGGATTCTTCTTTCTCCTCGCATCTCTCTTCACTTCTGACTGCTTCCCGCCTTTCTTGATCCACGGCAACCTGTGCCCACACCCGTAAGGACAAGAATCAGGGAACACATCGCAGGATGAGGCATCACAACACACGTGGTAGCTGGAGTCTTGGAGAACAGCTCCTTGTCATATTCGCTCAGAGTATCGAAGTCATCCTTGCGATGCCTCCTGTCTTCCGCGTGCCCGGCTTCCCTCCCGTGCCCTCTGCCGCCTGGTGGAGCATAGATCCTGACCTGAAGTCAGGACTTGACCTTGTGAAAGTAGAGTGAAGTTCAGATGATGGAGATTATGATAGAGACGATGGAGATTGAGATGGAGATGGAGAATGAGATGATGATGATGATGGTGGTGGTGGTGGTGGTGGTGGTGGTGGTGGTGGTGGTGGTGGTGGTGATGATGATGATGATGATGATGATGGAGATGATGACTGCAAACATGCATTCTCTTGTTGAATCAACGAAACCTGCTCAAAGTATGTCGATCCGCCTTATCGAAATAATCCATGTCCTTTGCTTTGTGACTGGTGTTGCTGTGCATGAGCACAATCCAGATTCCAAGACGAAGAAGGGAGAGAGAGACATGGAGGGAGGGAGAGACATGATGTGAGGTAGAGGTAGAAGAGAGAGCGAGGAGAGAGAGAGAGGAGGGAGGAGAAGGAGAGGAGGGAGGCAGAGGGAGGGACGAACGACCTCTCACTGGCCTCTACGTCTCTATATCGAAGTTTCTACAAGCAGACGTCATCACAGACAAGAACGCCCCCCTCCCCCCCGCTCCTCCTGCTACCTCTGTAAGTGGAGTGCTCTTCGACCTGGGCGGCATCCTGCAGGCAGCATCTTCAGGGGCAGGAAGCATCGAGCAAGCTTGCCTGTTCGTCTTCCTCCATGACCTGCATCGGATCATCTCAGCCACCGCCATCGCACTCGCCGAGCTCACTCTCTACCTTGGGACGATCTGCCCGCTGTAGGTACCACCATGTCCTTCCTCCATCGCAGCTGCCCTCCTCCTCCTGTATCAAGGGAACTGGCTAGACTACAACCACAGGATCCTCCTGCTGCTCCGACGCAGCGCGCTCCTCCGCCGCGCTCCTCCTCCTCGCCGCCGCTGCCCTTCCTTCGCTTCCGACCATAGAGGTACTTTCAACGTCCCGGTACGACCGGCAGTGTGGGATATCCGTACCAAGTTTTTGAGCGAGAGATATAAGGGGGAATGGAGGGGAGGGGGAGGGAGGGGAGAGGGTTGGGGAGAGAGGGGAGAGGGTTGGGGAGAGGAAGGAGGGAGGAAGGAGAGAGGAAGGAGAGAGGAAGGAGAGAGGAAGGAGAGAGGAAGGAGAGAGGAAGAGAGGAAGAGAGAGGGAGAGGAGGAAGAAGGGAGAAATCAGCAGAAGAGGAGGGAGGGGAGAATTCAGGCGAGGAGGAGAAAGGAAGAAGCTGGGAGGGGAGGTCAGCAGAGAAAGATATGAGACAGTGGCAAGGAGTAAATGGAAGATAGAGCCGCATACGTCAGGCTGTGGGTACCAAGGATGAAGGAGTGTGGGTCAGGCAGGACAGAGCAGAACATGCATATAAGCTCAGTCGAGGAGCATCAGGGCGGTTAAGATCTCCAGGACAAGAGGGAGAGAGGCCTGCAAACACTGTCGTTGACTGTCCCCGCAGAACTGCTAAGAAGATGCCTTTCATCATGGTCAACTGGTTGCCCAAGGCTTGCAGGAACGCTGCTGTCAGGAAGGAGGTGGCGGATGCTATCATCAAGGCAGTGACGTCAGTGAAGAGCGCCGACATCTCCCCGGACAAGGTTGTGGTCAGGTTCGCCGAGGCCGTGGACGGGTTTCCCTTGCCCGCTGGGCATACGCATCTCAACGTCAACGAGCCCGTGAAGGAGGAGAAGAAGTGAGAGGGGAGGGGGCAGAGTATGCTGCTGCTCATGGCAGGGCAGGGGGACTGCGGTTCCCTTGGGGGTTTTATTCTTGTTGCGGGTTCAAGCAAAGATGCACATCCCACGAGAGTCCTTCACCTTCGAGCTTGCTCGTGCATGAGAATGGAGAGCTTTGCGAGCAAACTGTCATCCGAAAGGTTCCTCCGTGCCATGCCATCATGCCTGTTCCCATCTTGGCGGCTTGTCAAGGTCGATCGTTTGCTCGAGCACGTCCTCGCCGATCCCAAGGATCTTAGCGAAGCAAGAGCCCGGTGCTCCTCCCTCATTCTCGATCTCCCTGAACACCTGCACCATCTCCTTGTGGTGGAGGGCCCCGCTGAACATGTACTCTCCCCCGATCATGAAGGTTGGGATGCTGTTGATGTTCAGCCTCCGCAGGGCAAGCTGCGCCTCCTGAATCTCTCTCGTTCCCTCCTCCGAGCTCAAGAAGTCCTCCACCTCCTTCCTGTCGATGCCGATTCTGCTCGCCGCGTCCGTGAGCAGCTGGGTACTGTTGAGCTTCTCTCCTACCTCGAAGTGCCGGTAGTTGAGCAGATCGTACAGCGTCTCTGCCGCGACGATACCGCGCGTCTTCGTCACCCACTGCACCAGCCGGTGGCTCCTGAAGGTGCTGGAGGCGATCCTGTCCAGATTGAAGTGCGCAATGCCCACCTCCTGCCCGCGCTCCTTGAGCTTGTGCTGCTGCTTCTGCCTCTCCCAACCCCTGATCCCTCCCCACTTGCGGACCAGCCTCTCCCTGTTCGTCTCCCCGAACTCCTCGTCGCGCGGATAGTCCGGCTCGAGGAAGAAGGGGACCCGGATGAGGGTGAACCCCAGCGGATCCCCTGGCGACATTGGATGCGAATGTACCTCCTTCATGGCGTTCCAGAGGTGGCGCTTTCCAATGTACCCGTTGGGTCACATGGTATCGCTGACGAGCTCGATCGTGATCCTCTTGGTGGGACGTGGAGTTTGCGAGCTGAGCATTCTTGAGGTCCGAGGAACGATGGCCTGGGCTGGTCGAAGCAGACCCTTGAGCATTCCTCCGATTGAGATGTGAGAGGAGCTAAAGGATCAGGAAAGCTTGTGGCTCCTTCTCGTCCTCTTCTGTACCTTCCACTCACGCTCTCCTCTCCTCCTCTCCCTTACTCGACTCCCCGACGGCACGCCTTTATATGACTCATGACCTCTGCCACCACCCCTCCTTCTAGGCTACTTTACTGAACAAAATGACCCCCACCCCCTCCCCCTTGTCCTCACCATGCAGGCAGTGAGCGTTCAGTCGTTTGGAGGCCCCGAGGAGCTGAAGATCGCAGAGCTTCCCATCCCCTCCCCCGGCAAGAGCCAGGTCTGCGTCAAGCTCTTCGCCGCCGGCATCAACCGTGAGTGGAGAGCAGGGAGAAGGGGAGGGAGGGAGGGAGAGGTAGCTAGGGGAGGAATGAAGAGTTGTTGCGCTGTGTACTTGATGACGGGCTGACATGATGCTCTTGCTCTACAGCGGTGGACACGTACAAGAGAGCAGGAGTCTATGCTCAGCTTCCTCAGCTCCCTTACACACCAGGGACGGACGGCGCTGGAATCATTCATGCAGTCGGGGAGGGGGTGACCCAGTTTCGTGAGGGGGACAGAGTCTGGCTCAGCGGGAGCGTGACAGGAACGTACGCCCAGTACTGCACTGCGAACCTCACCGACGTCCATCTGCTCCCGGAGGCAGTGTCCTTCGAGCAGGGCGCGGGCATCGGGGTTGTGTACAGGACGGCGTACAGAGCCTTGTTCACAAGGGTCGCTACCAAGCCAGGCTCCGTGGTCTTCGTGCATGGCGCGTCAGGAGGCGTCGGGATAGCTGCGATACAGCTTGCCATCAGCCATGGGTGCACCGTCGTTGGGACAGCCGGGACGCCAGCTGGACTCGAGCTGATCCGCTCCCAAGGGGCGTACGCTGTGCTGCACAACCAGGAGGGGTACATGGAGGAGGTCCTGGCGATGACGCCGGAGAAGAAGGGAGCCGACGTCATCTTGGAGATGGCGGCACATGCAAACCTCGACAAGGACCTGAAGCTGCTGAAGAAGAACGGGACGGTGGTGATCATCGGGAGCAGGGGAAGTGTGGAGATCAACCCGCGCTCCCTCATGACGACGGAAGGGAACATCGTCGGGCTGCTGGGCCTGGGTTCCCCGGAAGAGCTTCAGTCTGTCTTTGACGGCATCCAGGAGAGGCTGGAAAAGGGCTCGATCAAGCCCGTGGCTGGGGTGAAGTTTCCCCTGTCGGAGGCGGCGGAGAGTCACGTAGAGGTGATCGAGCACAAGATGGGGACGACGGGGAAGGTGATCCTCGTCATCGAGCACTAGGGAACAAGGCGATAGGGTCCAGGTGGAGATGCAGAGAGGAGTAGGAGGAGGAGGAGGAGGAGGAGGAGGAGACGATGGCTGGGATGGCGGCGGGAGGAGAAGTCTACCAACATGTCTCGGCTCGCTGGATGCCTGTGCAAACATATCGGACATGACTTGTTGCGATGTTTTAAAGCCTTTCCCCACCCCCCTCCGGCCTCTTGCTTGCTCCTGCATTCTCTCTAACTCCTTGTCTTTCATTGAAAGCCTCCAATACGCCTACCATACACCTAGATCTTCAACAAAACCTTGCCCGTGCTTTTGCCAGCCTCGAGGTACTCGTGGGCCTCAGCAGCCTGCCGAAAGAAGAAGCATCAGCATCCTGCAGACTTGCGCAAGAGTCTTGAAGGACCTTGTCGAGGGCGTAGACCTTGTCGACGGAGACCTTGAGCTTGCCATCTCCCAACCACTTGAAAATCTCGTTGGATCGGTAAAGCATCTCCTGCCTGTCCGTGGTGTAGTCGAGGAGCTTCGGCCTGAACGTTTCCATCACCTGCACACACTCCCGCATCCTCTAAGTGACCTGGTCACGTAGGCCGACTTGTTGATGAGGCGGAGGACAGGGAAGGCAGGCACGGCTCCAGAGGCGTTTCCGAAGGAGACAAAGATGCCGCGTCTACGAGGAGCTAGTCAAACTACCTGAGGATGAAGAGGAAGCATGGAGGACAGCGAGGAGGGCAAGGGGAGGCAGCTCATGGGCAAGAACACAGCCTCTCTCCTCTCACCTGGCCAGGGAGTCGATGGAAATGTCGACAGTGTTCTTGCCGATGCCGTCAACAACGCACTTGACACCGACCCCGTTGGTGATCTCGAGAACACGCTTGACGACGTCGACGCTGCGCGGGAGAAAATCAGAAGAGTTCGTGAAGACAACAAAATGTTCAAGGCGGGGAAGTGAAGCAAACAAAGAAGATACTGCGCGGGAAAGGAACGTGCGACAAGATCGGGAGGAAGGGCTGAAGAAACCTCGTGTAGTCCTCGTAGCTGGTTCCGGGAACCTCGTCGAGCACGATGAGCTCATCGCAACCCGTGGAGCGGCCGACGGCCTGAAGCATCGAGTCAGCGAAGGATGGGGAGGGAGCGGAGATGGGACGGGTCACCTCCTTGCTCTTGGAGGTGGTGCCGATAACCTTGTAGCCCCTCAACTTTGCCATCTGATCGTGAAACACTCAATTTCTCTCCCTCCATCCTTCCCGTCCCAATCGCAAACCTGAGCCGCCCACTGGCAGGTGCCACCGCCGACGCCATGGATAAGGCACCACTCGCCGGGCTTGATCAGCTGCCAGCAGATGTGAGGCCCAGGCCGTATGCCCCAAGATACGGCATCACCTGAGCATGAGCATCGCTGACCAAGTAGTGAGCAGTCATTCCCTGTGACCAGTCTCAGCACGCGTGAAAACGTGAAACACATCCCCCCAAAGGACAAGGAAACGCAGACAAACATGGCCAAAGAGCCGACCTGCACAACGCAGGAAGTGGCAACATCGAGGCCGACGTTGTCAGGAACCGGCTGGAGCTTGGCAGACGGCACGGCGGAGTACTCGCAGTAGGTCTGGAGGATTGAATAGACAACCTTGTCTCCGACCTTGAAGCCTTGGGCCTCAGCCTGACCAGAACCATCGGGTTACCAAGAAGCTTCACAAGGGCAAAGGATTACCTTAGGTGTAGTCTGAGCAATGTACCCTCCTCCTTCCTGCAAGAACAATGAATGCTTTGCTCACGACTGGTGCGCTAAATGTCTTTTATACCTGTCCGCAGATGAAGGGGAGATCACGCTTATACAGACCACTTCGATGATAGGTGTCGATGAAGTTGATACCAGCGAACTCATTCTTGACCAAGACCTGACCATCGCTGATGGCGGGAACAGGATGCTTGCTGTCCAGCTTGAGAGCATCAGCAGGTCCCACTTGGCTCACCACCATCGCCTGGAGGAACAACCATCAGCGGCAAGCTCCGCAAGAGAGGCCAAGGAGGAGCAGGACGTCTTGCCTTCATGGTCGATGGGACGCTGGCAAGTCCTCTCTGCGACCAGGACGCGAAGTTCGCCCTCTTGATCAGCGCTTGCGCAGGCGACACTCTGAGCATGGACAGCATCTTCGCAGTTCCTCCCCACGTCCTCTCCTCACCTCTTTATATGTTACGGTTTGAACCGATTTGAACTTGTGTAAAAGTCGATTCAAACCTTGGTATCACCTCCTTGACTCGGATTTGATTCGATTCAAGCTGAAAATGCGAAACAACTCACTTTCGGCTTTTATGCACGTGTAGAAATTTGGTCTTTTTTGAGCTGTAAAAGAAATATCTGCCTCCGATAGGTTATGAGCCGTTGGTGACGTCAGCGGCGCCGGCCGGGCCGGCCGGGCCGCCAGACTGAGAGTCCATTCACCGGCCGCCCTCAGTATCATCGAGTACGGTCCATTACCATCGGATGTGACGGCCCTCATCACCGGTGACCCAGTCACGCATATCAGTGACACCGTCTGACGGTCTCACTGGAGCCTTCCCGGCGCCCGCCACGGCCGAGCCGTCACCGTCCGTGACGCCGGGAGTAAGTCAAGTTTCGGAGGAGCCCGCCATTCTCCTCCTGACTGAGCGTATGGTCCAAAAGTGAAATTGAGCGCCTTCAGTGTGAATATACGAAACTACATATACTCCAAAACTAGTTTCAGCGAAATCAAGAATAATCCATCTACAGGGTTACTTTTCTACAAGATAGAGAGCGGTTTAGAACTTGATGCCCTTGCTGGTGAGGAGCTTGCCGAGGGGGGAGTCGGGCTTGATCTTTCCGCTCATGAAAGGGTAGTACTTGCCGGGAGGGCACTTCTCGATCTCGAGCTGAGCCTTCACAACCTCCTCGATCTGCTCGCGGCTGTGGGCAATGTCGTAGACCTGCTGAGCGGCAGCGGCAGGGACGACGACGACTCCGTCCTGATCACCGACGATAACGTCGCCGGGGCGAACAACGACACCACCACAGTTGATGACACCGTTGCACTCCCAGGGCTGCATGGCAGCAGGCCCCTGCTTGGCGGTGGTGGAGAAGGAGAAGGTGGGGATGCCATAGCCTGCAAGGAGAGTATGTCAACAAGCTGTAGCAAATCTTCGAGGCCTCATATACCGATCATGGTATCAGTGTCACGGACAGATCCGTCGGTCACGAGGCCTCCGACCTGTCAGTAGCGGTCAGAGCAGAGCCAAGTCTATGCACGAGAGCTCACGTTGCGCTGCTTGAGGCGGAGGAACTTGATGTCTCCTCCAACGGACTCCCACGGGCCAACGGAGGACATGACGAGGACCTGCATGTGGTGTCAAGGGCACGAGACGGGGGAAGTCTTGTGCGGGCTTACAGTCTTGTTGTCGCACTTCTCGAAGGCCTCGTACTCGGGGGAGTTCTCGCCGCCGGGCTTGTCGGTGCCGATGTCAGGGCGCTGGGGGACGAAGCGGACAGTGACAGCTCTTCCCGCACACTTCATGCCCTTGGCGAGAGGTCTGTGACGACGCTGTGAGGAGCAGGATCCGACGAAGAGGGTGAATTACCTTGCTCCCTCGATGTAGCTGGACGGCCAGCCCATGACCCACAGACCATCGATGAGGCCCTGCGAGCGCATCAGCCCTGCCTGTTGCTCGTCTCGCTGATTCACCTGGGTGGAGAGCTTGGAGAGCTTCTCCAAGAGCTCATCGCTGACGGTGGTGGGGGACGCAGCAGGACCAGTGGCGAAGCGCTTGGTGGCAAAGGAGGGGAAAGCCTTCACTGCCTGAGCAGAGCTCGAGCGGGCGACTTGGCGGCAGGCCTGGCCAGCGATAGCGCGGCTAGCAGATCTAGTCCAACTTGTCAGAAAAAGACTGCCGCATCATGATCACTCTATCCACCACATGATCGCAAGCACACGAGTGATCGAGATAGTCAGGTGAGCGAAGTCCCAGTGATTCTCGGATTGTAATATAACATCAAGCTCAAAGATTTTTGGTATACACTCTCAATTCAACAGGTATCAGCAGCCACCACCATCGCCAAAAAGTGCGCATGAGTAGGAATCAATCAAACAAGAGGCGTTGGAAATGTTCTCGGATTTCAGTCTTACTCGCTTACTGCACTTCCCAATCCTCCTCTTTATCCTTCTCCTGCTCCTCGACTTCTCTGTCCCTTCTTCTCACCCTCCGTTACTGCCCTCACTCCCTCCTTCCTCCCTCCTTCTGAGAATCTCACCGGGCAAAAGAGAGCATGCTGTCCTCGGTTGGACGTGGCGGCCCCCCCTTTATAACTGACTAGCAAAAATACTTTTAACAAATGAAATGGTACAGAATTGATACCATGCTTCGGATAAAAGTAATATGTTTCTGTATTGAAATGAGTTTGCTTTTGCCTACAAATGAAGCATTTTAAAATGATATCATACAAATGTTTTTAAATATCACGAGTGGAATGGCCAACGAGTCCGCCTCAATATGTCTCTTAGGCTAGGCGAACCGGAAACGGTCAAAAGGTAGAGGGAGGGAGTGGACTATATGCGCTCATAGTCAATGATCCCTGGAGGGTTCTGCCTTTGCTCTCATGCCCCTGAGGGGGAGGGGCCAGAGCTGTAAAGTGGTTGTGTAAAAGGATTTATAATATTGTATATCATGATAAAATGTTTATTGACTTTGCTTGCATCACTGTGCAGTCCGCAGGGAAAAATGTTTTCAAAGCTGTCCACTGGTACTGATTTGTTTTAAACTTAAATTTATTTAAAGTAATATCTAACTTTTTAGATATCCCGTTTTATTTTTCTGACGGCGGTTTGGGGACGAATACTGTAAAAATATCCTCCTAAAATTGAATAAGTGATGGTTACTTTGGAAATTATTTGGGTTTTGGTTCGCACGATTTACACGGATCCTTTATGCGTGAGGGGAAAGGACAGGATGGGGGACGATGGAGAAGAGGAGCGAGAAGAAGATGAGAGGGGGAGGGATGGGGGTAGGAGAAGTGAACTACAATGAGAGGAGGAGAAAGAGAAGAAGATGGTAGAAGAGAAGGGCTGACATGCCCTGGTAAGATGGAAACCACAACGGAGGAGTTACAAGGTAGGAGTGGGCTAAGGAAACAAGGGGCGTTGAGGGCAAGGACAGAGAGGACAAACGCTCAGAGAGCATGTAGCGAACGAGGGAGGCAAGGGAGTTTGCGTTCTCCATGTGGAGGATGGTGTTTCTTGGCGGCATGACAAGCTGACGTCCCCTTGCTGCAGTCCCAACCTCGACATGATTGCTCTGCGACGCTCCTCTGCTCTCAATGCCGTCCGTTCCTTGGCCGTTAAGGCCTCGGCTCCCCAGGTTCGCTCGTACGGCGAGCGTGCGGCCGACCAGAGCCGATGGGGTATGACCCCCAAGACCTTCGAGAGCGTCTTGGACCGTTTTGCGCAGGTGAGAGTTGTTAGAGGTCTTTGATGATGATGCTTGGAACCACTGGATCTCGCACGTTTTGCTGTTATGATGTGGGAGGGAGGTAGAGGAAGGGGATGGGGACGCAGAGGAAGATCGATGATGAACTCCTCTCTTCGCCTACGTGATGTTCACTCGCTGCCGCAGCACCGTGCATGCGCTGTGCTCCGTACCCCGACGGCGGAAGCGGCTCCCAAGGCCATGCAGGCAGCCATTGACGGAGGCTTCAAGATCGTCGAGTTCACCCTTACCACCCCCAAGTGCCTCGACGCCGTCGCCGACTTCCGCAAGAAGTACGACGGCAAGGTCATGATCGGCTGCGGTACCATCATGGACATCGAGGATGCCCAGAACGCGCTCGATGCTGGAGCTGAGTTCATCGTCGCTCCCGTCCTCGTCCCTGAGGTCCCCGCTGCCCCTGTCGCCCCCTTCTTCTCCGTTGACCGCCAGACACTGCAGGTTGTCACCTGGTGCCGCACCCGCAACGTGGTTTGCATCCCAGGATGCTGCACCCCGACTGAGCTCTACCAGGCCTACAAGGTGTGTGAAGTTGCAAGAGGAGGGGAGAGGAGGAGAGAGGGGGGCAGAGGATAGATGTTTGAATCTTCATCAGGCCGGAGCCCCCATCCAGAAGTTGTTCCCTGGAGTCGCCGGTGGACCCGACTTTGTCAAGGCAGTTTCTGCCGCCCTTCCCATGCTCAAGATCAACCCCACCGTGAGACTCCCTCCCTTCCCCCCGCCCTCTCCCCTCCTCCCTGCCGTCTCCTCCTTCCCTCTACCCTTCTCATACTTCGGCTCATCCTCTGCGGTCTGCCCCTGACGCTGCCTGGCAGTCGGGAGTTGACTTGAACAACGCGCACGAGTTCCTTCAGAAGGGAGCTGCCTCCGTCGGACTCGTCGCCCCTCTCTTCGACCCGCAGGACATCTCCAGCGGCAACTGGGACAGCATCAAGGCTAAGGTGAGGAGGAGGAGGAGGAGGAGGATGGAGAGGATGACGAAGTTGAGCAGGCAGAGAAAGTGATCAAGAACGTGGAGAGCGTCGGTCCTCTCAAGCGATGAAGAGTTTAGCTGGGAACCTCTTTGTTGGGGTGTGGAGGAACAACTCTTAAGCTCCTAGATGTCTTGTAAATGCTTCTACGTTGATGTAGCCGTGTGATTGTGAAAGGAGATGGAGGGACGGACAAGGCAAACGATCATTCTTTCTCTTACAAGGCCGTCCTGAAAAACATCATCCTCGTCCTCCTCCTGCACAACCCACTGCTTCCACCACCGCCTCTTCCTTCTTCCTTCAGCTCTGTCCCCTCTAGTGCGCTACCCACTCGATCTTCTTGATATCGATCCCCTCCTGCGCTTCCAATCAGCACCGGAACAGAATCACATGGAGGAAGAGGTCCATGTTCGAGCGGAAAGGACAAGAGCAGTGCAGATTGTCAGGGAGGGCAAGGAGAGGAGGAGGGAGGAGAAGAAGACAGAAGGCAAAGAGGAGGACACAGGACAAGAAGACAGCAGGAGAGAGGTAAAGAGAGAAGGCAAGGGGAAGGAGGCGAAAGAGGAGGGAAACACAACGGTGGGCCGACCTGCACCATCTCCCACAGAGGCGACATCTCTCTCAGCCTATGCACGTGCTTCTCCACCAGGTTGACAGCGTAGTCGATCTCCTCCTCGGTGGTGAAGCGACCGATACCGAACCTGATGGACGTGTGTGCCATGTCCTCGTCCACCCCGAGCGCTCGCAGGACCTGCAAACACTGTCAGGAACGTGTCGCGCTCGCTCGGAAGGCTGACGTAGGAGGGCTCGAGGGAGGCGGAGGTGCAGGCGGAGCCGGAGGAGACGGCGACTTCCTGCTCCCCAGTGAGACTGACAGGTCCGGAGAGGAGAGGAGCGCACCTTGAGGGCCATGAGGAGGCTCTCGCCCTCCACATAGGCGAAGGAGAGGTTGAGGTTTCCTGTGGGGACTGTGAGCACCTGGCCAGGTCCTCCGTTGCTCTTCCTCCTCTTCCTACCAGGATAGCGCGACTCAGGATCACCGTTCAGGGTGACATGGGGCACTCGCTGCATGACGGCCTTGTACCTTCCAGAACTCATGAGACAAGAGCAGAAACGGGTTGGAGGAGCCAAGAGTCAAGAAGCATGCGCAACGAGGGGTTCTGCTAGCAGCAAGAGGAAGGGAATTCGGGGAGCTAGGAGCATACATCTTTTCTGAAAGCCGCTTAGCATGAGCGTAGTCCCTTTCCCTCTCCTCCAGCGCGATCCTGGCGGCCGCACCCAAGCCAACAGCAAGAGGAGCAGGCACAGTGCCGCTCCTGAGCCCGCGCTCTTGTCCACCTCCGCTGATGATCGGCTCAATCCTGCACAAGGGGTCAAGGGCAAAGTTCTGAGACAAGTTGACAAAGGCATCAAAAGAAATCTCTCAGTTGCACCTCTAGTATCTGCTGTAAAAGCTCCGCTACCATTAACGGGTGGGTACTCAATTTGATTCTGAAATAGCTCTCCCTCATGCTTCCCTCTCCCTCATGCTTTCCTTTCTCCTCTCGTCTCTATCTATCCTGCCTCCTCGCTTTCTTGTCCCATAATTTCTTCACACCCTTACACCTTCACTCCCACTCATCTCCAGACTGACAACTTGCAGCAACGTCCCACCTCACGCGAGGACGGCGGCGGATGTACAGCGCTCCGACGCCCTTGGGTCCATAAATCTTGTGACCGGAGATGGACGCGAGGTCCAGATTCCACTCGTTGACGTTGACGTCAATCTTGCCTGCTGCCTGTGCGATGTCCGAATGGAAGAACACCTTGTTCTCCCGGCAGATCTTCCCGATCTCCACCATGGGCTGGATCACTCCAATCTCGTTGTTCACCGCCATGACTGACACCAGCGCCGTATCCGGTCTGATCGCAGCTCGCAGCGTGTCCAGGTTGATCAGGCCGTTGGCCTGCACCGGCAGGTAGGTGATCTCGAAGCCCTCGTTCTGGAGCACGCGGCAGGAGTCGAGCACGCACTTGTGCTCAGTCTGAGTCGTGATGATGTGCTTCTTCTTGGCTCCGTAGAACCGAGCCACTCCCTTCACTGCCATGTTGTTGCACTCGGTCGCTCCACTCGTGAACACGATCTCCTTGGCGTCGGCTCCGATCAACTTCGCAACATGCCCGCGAGCCTCTTCCACTAGCTCCTCTGCTTCCCACCCGTAGTGATGCGACCTGCTGTGGGGGTTGCCGTACTGCCAGGTCAGCAAAGGCATCATGGCGTCAAGCACGCGAGGATCCATTGCTGTTGTGCTCTGGTTATCAAGGAATGCCGACCTCCCTTCCTTCGCCTGCCCTGCGATGCTGAAGTCCATGTTGGAGTTCGTGGTGGAGATTTGCAACCATCGCCTGCCCTCCTTGGGAGCTGTAGCTGCGCACCTCCGAACGACGATAGACGAGGTGAGCTTGCTCCCAAGAGTTTTGGAGCCTCTCAGCGCTATAGCGAGCATGATATCCCTACAAGTTACAAGTTAAGACATCTTACGACTAGCATGGACCCTTGACTTGCTACTCTGGAAGCAAATCGCTATACTCGCGATGCTCTGCTCTAAATATAATTGCCGCCGTACATGTATTTGAGATATCCTGAATAATTCAGCTTTTCACACTTACACTGTATACAAACTTTTCCCCACGTACCCATCTATCCTCGAGCTTCCGAGTTTGACCAAATGATTAACTGCCCTTGCCCATGCTCCCTCCTCACCCATATCCTCTTCGCCTTGCTACACATCTTGCCCCTTCCACTCCTCCTAACAACTCCTGCACCACCTGCAACTCATGTAGCGCCTGCATCCCTTGAATCGCCTGCATCACCTGTACTGTCTCTCCTACCGTCCTTCTGCTCATGTCATTCCTGGTACTCGTGCTTTCCTTGAGTTCATTTCCTTCCATGTTCGCCCAGAGAAGACTACCCTACCCCCCTTGACTACCCCCACCACACACAAGCATGATCCAGAATTACCCTACCCATATTTCATGATGCCACTTATCTACCCTACCCCCATCATTCCATTCAAGTGCACATACACCCACAATGAATCATCATATTACCCCACGTAATGACTGGCCTGGATGACCTTCAACTTTATTTCACCCGTTCAGTGATACCCTACCCCCACAAACACAATTTCAAGACCACCCCTGTTAGACATCTTTATAACATGCAAAAGGCACTCCATGACTACCTACCCCTGGATTACATGAATTGATCACCCTACCCACTAATTCAGCTTGGATAAGAGGTAAAAAGACCCCATCATGTCTCTATTAGACAGGATGAGGTAGGGTAGTAACGGTACCCATTTCCTATACGATAAAAGTAGGGTGCTGTGTCTATTAGGGTAGGGTGGAGGTGGACAGGTCTCCTCTGAACAACGGTGTTTCAGCAGGGAGCATATAGTAATCCAACATGATATTTAGGGGGTGGGGTCAAAAAGGAGGGGTCCTCTGGACGGGGGTAGATTGTTTGTGCTAGGAATGAGAGGGGCAACAATACGAATCGTTCTCTTTTTCCAAATGCGGGGGGATGTGGGCCACCCAGTGTGAAGCTTGGTGGGTTTGGAGGGGACCTTTCAAATCCTGTTTCAAATCGCTAAAACTCGTCCCTTGCGTGCGGTATGAGGGTAAAACCTCATCCCCCTCGTTCACATTACCCTCATCCCCCGCATTTTCGTGGAGTCCATAATGCGACGTTTCATATTGTTGCCCCTCCCGTTTCTAGCACAAACAACAACCCCCCACCCCCCAACCCACCACCATCCATCTACCCCTTGAATTCAGTAGGTAGAATTGCGTATTGTACCCCTTCTATGATCCATCATTGGAACCCGTTGTCTTTCTACCCTACCCCTGTCTATCTAGCAGCCTTCCAGCCATGCCCAAAACTACAACAAGCTACCGCAGTTATGACCACCCGTGCTATCATTGCTCATACCCCTTGTTTCAATACTGAAAAAATGGTCCATGTACCGGTACTTGAAGTACCTCTACCCCCTAAATTCCATCCTAACCCACCTTGTCCCAATTCGGCATGGCCGGCGATTCATGCAGGTTTGTGCCGAAGAGCGCAAGGAAGGGAGGCGGATGCACGAGCTGAGGCCCCTCCACCTCCTCTCCATCCACCTCCTCTCCCACCATTCATGAGCAGCAACAGGATGAGGAAGAGCCTCTCCTCTCCTCTGCGAGAGCTGCTGAGGAAGGGCAAGTAAGGGTGGATGTGGAGGTGGGAGAAGTGAAGGGGCAGGTGGAGGGAGGGAGGAAGGGGTTGATCATTTCCTTCCTCACCCTCCTTCTATCCATCCCTGCACTTGTGGGTGCATGATGCTGGCCTGCGCTGGTGATCCCCCTCCTAGGAGGCACCGTCACCAGCGCGTCTAGGCAGCTAGGGCACTTCCTATCCCTGGGTGTTAATTTTCTAGTTTTCTCCTTCTCCTTCGTCTTCGTCCTCAGGAACGCTGTCAATGGCAGAAGACATATCCCTGGTCACTGCATGCGCTTTGGCCCTGCCTACCTCACGCTCCTGGCGGCTATCCTGATCCTGGGTGACAACATGCGCCATGTTCTGCAAGACACGAACGTGTGGCCTGCGGGGCCATGGCCTGGTTCGAGCCAGTACGTTCCCAACTGCGCTGTGAGGATCGCAATGTCGCCTCCTCGGTCATGCAACGCCAGCACTGACTGTGGCTCGTTTGACTGCGGGGGAGGGTCGTACGCGGTCGGCGAGGGGAGTTCATGTTTCACGTGCTACATCGGCGAGGGCAGCTTTGACCACACGTGTAGCACGGGGATGGAATCTATGTCCTGTCTTTCTACTGTCGGGTTGGTCTTCTTGAGCATGACGTATGCCGGGTTTGCGCTGTTCTTCTTTGCAACATTCTGGAATGCGGACCTTGTTGGCAAACTGCGGAAGATACGCGAGGAGTGGAAGGCGATCAGGGCGGACGACGGGATATGAATGCAGAAGGTGAAGTGAAGGGTGCGCGGAGAGTTTCAAGAGCCGAGGTCGGATGACATGCTGTCCACAAAGCTTATGCACGGACATCATTGAAGGACCCGGGATCCTGTAAGCCTCGCACATCCTTGCAACTTGCTCGCCGATGGTGCAACTAGGTACTCTGATCAGCAGGCGAGGGAGTAGTAAAAGAGATCATTGAAGGAAGGTAAGGCAGTAGGAATGCCATGTCAGACACTCGCACGTCAGCTGGTCCTTGATCTTGCTCGTCTTCCAGGCGGCAGACAGGCAGTTGGTGACGATACTGCTCATCAGCCCCCAGCAGCTCAGGTCCTTGCAGACCGAGGCGATGCCTTCGACTGTGCAGTCCGCCAGGCCCTTGTTGCAGACGGAGAGGATGCAGTAGGGGTCGTCACCGCATCTGCCTGCCTGTTAGAACGGGGGTAGGGTGCAGGGTTGTGAAGAGACTTGCGGTAGAGAGAAATGAGGCAGGCTGGGAGTAGGCGGAGAATGGAATGAAGCATGGAAGGGGGATGTAGACAGGGAGCACGTGGAGGGGGTAGACGGAGATGGTGGAGGGAGAGGAGGACGGGACCAGAGAAGGAGAGGAGGGAGGAGGGAGAGAAGGAATGATGATAAGAGGATTTGAAAATCACCGCGAGCGGATTGACGAGCTGGGGCACCGAGGCAGATCTTCGGGCAGCGTCAAGTTGACGGTGGGCGGGGGGGCCACGCCATAGTAGAACTGCTTCCTGTCCTGCGAGGGAGATGAGAAGATGAGGGAGTGAGGAGGGGAACTGAAGAAGAAGGTGTCTCAAGCAGAGAACTTGGCAGGAGGAAGGAAGGAGAGGGTGCTTCTTCTTGCTGATCCCCTGTTCATCTTTCCCGTTTCCAAAGTTTTCCGGAAAGATTGACAAGGAAAGGGAGGGGGCACACGTGTCCAACGTGACGAGACCAGTGAGGGGTTGGAGAGAATGACAGGGGAGCGCGGGCAAGGAGCAGAGCAGGGAAGGGCAGGGAGGTGGAGAAAAGGAAAACAGAGGGAATGCAGAGGAGGAGGAAGAGAGGAACAGGTGGGAAGGCACGAGACGGAGGAGGGAGCAAGTGCCTTGCACTGCGGCAAGGGGCTCAAACCTGGTAGCAGGTCTTGCAGGAGCCACAGGATAAAGGGCACTCATCGCATCCCACGCCGATCTGCTGCGCGCAGAAACTAGCGCTGATGGTGTCGCAGGTGAGGAAGACGTCGTTGAGAATTCCTGGTGGCTGAGAAGGAGGTGAGAGAGCAAGAGGATGCGTGAGCAGGAGCAGGAGCAGGAGCAGGAGCAGGAGCGGGAGCGGGAGCGGGAGCGGGAGCGGGAGCGGGAGCAGGAGCAGGAGCAGGAGCAGGAGAGAGGAAATTCTGGCAACAGAAAGGTACAACAGACATCTGCAGGTTGCAGCAAGGTGTCAATGATTACCTGAGGCAACTTGTAGGACCAGGAAGGGTTGTTGAGACAGGGAAAGTACTCCACTCGAGCCGCCTCGACCCTCTGCTTCTGCGAACAAACACCAAACCTGTCAATCTTGGCGATGATGGCGATATTTCCAACATCACAATGTACAGTCGTCTTACCACCTTCGTAGCGTTTGCCAGACATTCTTGTTGGGCAGCCAGACAGTCACTTACACAAACGCTCGGCGGTTCCATGCACTGGCAGAGCCGGCGAGCGGAGGAGATGCTGCGAGCAAACTTCATCAACCGGGTTGAGACGGGGGGGAAGGGGGGGGAGGGGGGACCTTGGAACAGCAGAGCAGGAGGAGGAGGAGGCGGGGGAAGCGAACGCAGGATTCAATGCGTAGCAGACGAGCCCGTCGCCAGCAAGTGGGAGCGCTGTTGTGAAGCTCCTCTGCGAAACGTCAGTCATTCAGAGCAAGAAATGGAGGACGACAAGGACGAGGAGAAAAATGAAAAGGAGGAAGAGGAGAAAGAGGAGGTGGTGGAGGATAATGAGAAAGAGGAGGAGAACCAAGAGGAGCAGCAGCAGCAGCAGCAGCAGAAGATAGCATGGATGAAAGGCGCATAAGAGGACGACACGTAGCGGCGGGAACGCGGGGGAGAACAAGAGGCCTCACAGTGCCAGCGGTGCCGAACTCATCGATCATAGGGAGGGCGGCGAGGTCGGAGGGCTGGAGGAAGTGTAGGTGCAAGGGGTCGAGAATGTAGCTCCTCTCGCAGGTAGCGTTCCTCTCCTCCCCGGCTTGCTTGAGAACTTGAACCAGCGAGACGTTAAAGGAGCTGACGAGCAAGCTGCTCCCTGTGTGGGGTATGCAGTAAAAGCCGGGGAGAATGCGAGCACAGGCAGCATTGCAATCTTCAGAGGCTTCAGCGAGCACCCAGGTGTCTCCTGCTGCCACCGGCTTGTCCTCTCCCCGCGCGTTGATCCCCCGCGAGTCAAACCGTCCTTGCTTCGCCATGCAGTTGGTGAGCTGGCGGGCGCAGCAGATCTCCTCGTCATCGATGCAGACGCAGGAGGAGAGGGAGGATGTAGTCGAGCCCGTGGAGCAGACGAAGCCTGTGGATCCCTTGAGATGTGGCAACAGAGACCCGGGACAGAAGGAGAGTACAGGAGCGTGAGAGGGAGGAAGCAAGAAGAGAACAAGGGAGGAAGCAGGAAGACTGCAGGGAGGCACGACTTACCTTCCTCGACTGTGCAGTGGCTGCTGCATCCGTCCCCGAGGTCAGTGTTGCCGTCGTCGCAACCCTCCTCCGGCTGCTTCAGCCCATCGCCGCAGATGGGGGCGCACGTGAAGCCATCGCCCAAATAGCCGATGAGACACGTGCAGGTGAAGGAGCCCGGGACCTGACCAGCAGAGTGAGGGAGGAGGTGGAGGGGGGAGAAGGGCAGCAGGAGCAACAGCGGCAGATCATCGGAGGAAGGGAGGGGTTAGATCAGGTACAAGACAGGCAGACGACAGGTAGGGAAGGAGGAGGAGGAGGAGGAGGACGA